GTATTTTCCTGTTGTGTAGTTCTGGCTAGCCCGGTTGCGTTCATCTTTGTTTAGACGTGGCATTGCAGCATCAACCTTGCAATAAAATCTTAAATATGGGTTTAATAGGAATGTGTATTGTTTCTCTAAATCCAAAATATCAATGAAAATAGACCCCCGATTGGCAAGAAATCATGTAAAACACTATTTTGGGTTTTAAATGCCCATGTTGTCCTTTAAATAGGTCACAGGTATCCAATGATAAAAATAGATAGTTGTTCCATATACTTTTTCAATATTTCTTTTTTTGTTGAGTATACTATTTATTGCGATTTCATTAACAGACATTTTTCATAGAAAACAAAAAATATAATGTACATTTAAATCACTCTATCGCATAAATAAATGCATCCGCATCCTTGCAGGGGCACGGATAATAATGTGATATCAAATTTTCTGTTTACCTTATAATTGCAGTTGTATTCTTGCACAATTCTTTAAAATGATCTATCTTTTCCACATTCCTCATTTCATTTATTTCAAAAAGATCTATACTGACTCATGTTTCATTTTTGAAGACAGGCCAATTATCAATAGAAATACACTTCTAGAATATTTTTGCATCAAAAATATGTCAGATAATAAACCTTATTGATAAGTATGATCTTCTGTATTATAACTTCTGAGGCTAAATTTAGAGAATCTTCTTTCTCTCTACAGACTATCTTGATGCAAATTGTGGTCGTACTATCCAGGTGAACTTCCACATAATCCCCCACTAAATAAGCTAATTCAGAGAATATGCTCGGTTCAAATTAACTAAATCACTGAATTCATTTCTCTTTTTATTGGAGAGTCTAAAATTACAGTTACTGTATTATTTGGGTTTAAATAACTAAACATGACTGTGTTTCACCAACATATTTTGTTTGAATATGAATTTTACAGGAAGTGGGGGATTATGTGGAAGTTCGTTAGCCATAAGAGACTAAACTACAGTAAATGATACAAGTTTAGCTTTTAAAAAAAGCTTAGAGAGTCAGCCAGTGGATTTTTCTTATCTGTGATGTTTTGAAGAATACATGTACAACGGTACTGAAACAAAATGCATTATACCGGTATTGCATGTTTTGTCTCTTAATTAAAAGACAGATATAATGTAATAAATATTTAAGTTCAATTTCACAAAACATAATCCCATGAAATTATAAACCATAGGTATTTTTAAGTTTGTTAACTATCCTAATTTAATTTGACATAGCTAGCTGAATTTAAACTTGAAACTTAAAAAAAGTAGATATTAATTGAAACAAAATAAACAACACAATGACTGGTACACAATTCATTTATCAAACCTCTAAAACGTAATAAAACTATATAAATCCCTAAATCTGATTACCACAACAAAAATGGTCTCATTTACTAAATAAGCTAATTCAGAGAATCTGCTCGGTTCAAATTAACTAAATCACTGAATTCATTTCTCTGTTTATTGGAGAGTCTAAAATTACAGTTACTGTATTATTTGGGTTTAAATAACTAAACATGACTGTGTTTCACCAACATATTTTGTTTGAATATGAATTTTACAGGAAGTGGGGGATTATGTGGAAGTTCGTTAGCCATAAGAGACTAAACTACAGTAAATGATACAAGTTTAGCTTTTAAAAAAAGCTTAGAGAGTCAGCCAGTGGATTTTTCTTCTCTGTGATAATGTTTTGAAGAATACATGTACAACGGTACTGAAAAAAATGCATTATACCGGTATTGCATGTTTTGTCTCTTAATTAAAAGACAGATATAATGTAATAAATATTTAAGTTCAATTTCACAAAACATAATCCCATGAAATTATAAACCATAGGTATTTTTAAGTTTGTTACTATCCTAATTTAATTTGACATAGCTAGCTGAATTTAAACTTGAAACTTAAAAAAAGTAGATATTAATTGAAACAAAATAAACAACACAATGACTGGTAAACAAATTCATTTATCAAACCTCTAAAACGTAATAAAACAATTACTATAAATCCCTAAATCTGATTGCCACAACATAAATGGTCTCATTCACTAAATAAGCTAATTCAGAGAATCTGCGTCTCCCACTTAGGAAAAAAAGCATGCGCAGATCTAAAAAAAAAAAGGGGGGGTGTCACGGGGCCATATGGTGGATCGAGTTATGGTATAAAATTTGATTGTAAAACGCAAATATGTTTCTTTTGATAATGACTGGAAATGAAAGTTTTACACATTCTAACACAGAGATGTGAATTTATTACCTTGAACTTTGAACGTCAAAATAAATCTATTCATTTCTAAAGCTCAAGGGCTTTTCGAAATATTGCACGGACACAAAGGTGTTCAAACAGACATAAGTTTGATTTCATTGCCTTGACCATTGACATTTTTACCTCAAAATCAAGAGGGGTTTTCCATAGTGAGTTGTGTAAAATTTCACTACAAAAGCTCAACAGCTTCTCGAAATATTTCACGGAATTCAAAGTGTTACAGACAGAACTACAGACAGGGGCACGGAAGGACAAGCAGACCAAAATAAAATAATATCCTCCACTTCCAGCGGGGAACATTACAAACGAGCAAGCTAGCCAGTTGTGTCTCTTCTCGAAGTATCCGTTGTATGATTTAACAAGTCCGTTCGCTAAATGGCATCGGGATCGAAATGAAGTAATGAAAACGAAAGTAAAACTAATAAAAATTGAATAACTTCAAAATCTCTATTAAACAATGTTTATGTCGTAGATTTAAATACATAAATAAAATACCTTCAATATAAGTTACAAAAGACCTTCAATTAACGCGTCAAACACTGTGCGATATGAGTTCATACAACTGTATGCTTAACTGCGTAGAACACATTTCACGATCTGATGCGAACCAGTTTAATTACTGCGAACCAGGTTTTAAAAACTGTTTGAAACGGTTTAGTAGGATTGTACAAAGCTTCTAGAAATAAATAAGCATAAATGACTTTCTTATTGAAGTTGAATTTAAATTTACAGATTACCGTGGTGTTAAATAGGGATTATTTTTCTTTGTTTAGTCTATACTGATTTTACTGAAGTGAAATTAGCTAGAGTGATTTGCTGCAGAACTACTCCCAGAATTCCAAAACGCGCAAGCGCATTTGAAGTTACTGTTCTTCGTATCATAACTAGTCAGCCCGTGGGCTGACTAAATATCATGCCCATAGAATTCCCCAGATAGCAAGCTGACGTTGGGCCGATGTTGGCATGTGGTTGGTAGATCGGCTACATATCGCGGTTGGCAGAACGATATTGGGCCAATATCGGTCCGACATTGTCATTACAACAGTCGGGGTATTGACATTGTTCCAACATCGGTCCGACATTGTAATTACAACAGTTGGTGCATTGACATTGTACCAACATCGGTCCGACATTGTAATTACAACAGTTGGTGCTCTGACATTGTTCCAACGTCGGGCCAACATCAGGCACATAGCATCGTTCTCAAAAGTGGGGGGGGGGGGGACCATAGAATTTTTTTTACTTACCTGAAAAAGTTGACAAGCAAAAGGATGGGGGTGGTGGTGGCCAACTTTTTTCAAGGCCAACTTCCTTTCACTTCCAATTTTTTTGCTATTTTTCCTTGATTTCACTATAGGCCCAGCCCCCCCCCCCCCCCCTCCGTTGCTACGTGCCTGAACATTGTTATTTTTAAGGTTGAAGTATGGACATCTTTGTAATGTTGGGCCGACATTGTTGAACCAATGTTGCTATGTGAACTTATGTTGAAACGTTTAAATAAATATTTATTTATTTTATTTTTTATTTCTTTGTTTATTTAATCATTTCTAGTTATTTAACCTTTACGTAGATTTTCAAAACTATGGAATATAACTTTGATTTTTATCTAAAACTGTCGACTAATAGTACAATTACGTCGGGATCGGAGTCGGGCTCGATAAGCAATTAATTTAAACAACACACCGCGCCGAAATTTAAATTTTTGGTGGGTTACACGCAGCCATGTTGATGTTGTACAGAAGGAAAGTTCGGAAGAGAGTGTCGCGAAAAGGAGAATCATGACTAGCTTTGGATGGAATTTGTGTTTTGACAGAGATGAAGACATTTTACGACCCGGTACTGCGGTAGGTACAATGTACAAAATATTTTAACATTTGTCCTTGAATGAATAATTGCTTTTGCTACTGTTCCTTAGTCAGGACACTACACATAAAACGCCTTGCAGTGAAATCGTTTTAGCAAGCGCTATTTCAATTTTATTATAATAATTTAGCACTTCTAAACATCTCTCATAAAGATGGATTTCAACCCGAATTTCCTCGTTTGGGATCGATTCAGGAATTTTAGTGTTCCTCTCTTCAACATTTACAGAGTATGTTGTTGTTGTGAATGTGTTAACATTAACAATGTTTAATTTATTTTCTATATTATTTTAATTTATTTATATAAAGTGTAAGATTGTTGTTATTGTATTTTATATCATAAGTGTAATTGTTCATGTGTCCGTTTTTATCAGGTTAAAGTATATAGTGTATTTTTTAGTCAGTTTCCGTTTTTGTCCGGTTGTTTATCTTTTGTTTAGTTTTAGAAACAGGAAATAAGTAGAGCAGAAGTGTAGCAGACGTTTGTCAGAAGTCAGAGATAGTCAGATCGTTTAATTAAAGTTTTTGATATAGATTTCAGTCACTTGTAGAATTAAGGTAAAAGGTAGACTTAATAGAAGAGCTTGTGCAGTAGTAGACACAGATTTCTAGGATTTTGAGATAATATGCATGTTGTAACTATTTCCAATGTGGCATGTTTTTTACTTTCAGTCTAATGTATACTTGTTTTGTATTGTTTATATGTTTGCATATGTATATAAAATGGAAAAAGGAAAAACCTGTGTGATTATTCAAGGAACTGATAGACAGTCGCCACATTGATTGGTGCCGGAACCCGGGAAACCGTCGAGGGAACCAAAAATTACAGCAGAATTTCGTATTCATTGTGTTGACCAAACTAAAAGAAAATGTCTGTGACATATCTCAAGGGATTCTGTACCAGGTACAGGAATCTTATAGATAAAGAGATGAAAAAGAGTGAAGAATTTGTGACGGCCGACGTTTCAGAGGAGGATCCATCGGCTCTCCTTAAAAATGTGGAAACATCAATTAGACGTATGAAGGAATTCAGTGCCAAACTTGAAGAGACAATGGAGAAGTGGTCATTAGCAATAGAAGACAAAGAGCTTAAACAAGGTGAAGAAGAGAAATTTAGTGAGGACAGTGAAAAAGTGTTTCTTCTATTGACTGAAGCGAGTGAACACACAGATCAGCTGATTATTCTAGAGAAAGCACTACAAGAAAACATATCAATGCTGAAAAAACCTGCTGAAATGACAGACCCAAGACTAGAACAGATGATGCATTTACAGGCAAGAATGCAGGAACAGATACTTCATTTTCAAGAGTTGTCGATTCAACAACACACTCCAAAGACGGGGCCGGTAGCTGTTAAACTACCCAAGTTAGAACTTCCTACTTACAGTGGAGACAAAATCAAGTTCAAGGAATTCTGGGATGCCTTTGAGGCCACAGTTCATAAGAATCCAAAGCTCTCCAACATAGAGAAATTTAATTACCTAAAGAGCAAATTGAAAGGAGCAGCTCAAGAAGCTATTTCTGGACTTTCACTTTCAAATGAAAACTATGATGTAGCTGTTGCCACTCTAAGAGAGAGATTTGGAGACATCCAATCAGTTATCAACAAACATTATGTAGAACTCATCAATACACAGTCAGCTACCAATGACACGTCAAGCCTGCGGAAGTTAAATGATGACCTCGAGAGACATCTGAGGAGCCTAGAAGCATTACATCAGGATGTGAACCAAGATGTGTTTGTTCCAATGATAACATCAAAGCTACCTAAAGAAACTCTGCTTCAGCTTGAAATACAGAAAGGGCCAAAGGAAAAATGGACAGTTCAGAAATTGAGAGAGTTGATGAAAAACTACATAAAAGTCAAGGAATCATCAGAAATTCAAGCCTCTAGTGTCCCTATACATGAGGAGAAGCATACTACAGCAGAAGCCCTTGTGATTTCCACTAAGGACTCATCATTAAGACAAAGCAGACCGCCTGGAATTTCAGGGAAGCCTCCAGTGTGTACATTCTGTGAGGGCAGACATTGGACAGATGAGTGCAGAAAGTACAGAACTATAGAGGATAGAAAACAGAGACTTAGAAGGAAGTGTTTTATTTGCTTAAAGCCTGGTCATAGAAGTAAGGAATGCCGAGTGGATAAGGCATGTTATCACTGTAGACAGACTCGTGACCACCACAGAAGTTTGTGTCCTAAGAAGTTTCTTGTACGTCAAAGAGAAAGTTCACATTTGACCGAGGAAGTGTGTATCAAACAAGAGACTTCAAACTTTTCTCAGAGTTCTGAGAATAGTTTATTATCATCAGGGGATATTGTTTTGATGCAGACGGCTCAAACAGAGGTGACAAACCACAATGGAGAAAATACAGAACCAGCAAGACTCCTCATGGACTCAGGATCACAGAGAACCTACATAACAGAAAACTTGGCTGAGAAATTAAAGTTGAAGATTCTTACAACAGAGAAGATATCCCTCATAACTTTTGGTGCGGAGAAGCCAAAAATTGTGAAGACACCCAAAGTTTCCCTGAAAGTGAAACTCAAAGATAGACATTATCTTAATATTGAAGTAAATGTTGTACCAAACATTACAGGAACAGTACAAAGGAAGCCTATCCCCAAGGACATACAATTGAAATGCCAAAGTCTGTGGAAAAATCTTCAGTTAGCAGACACTATACCAGTGAATTTTGAAAACTCAACAATTGACATTCTGATAGGTAATGATTATTACCTGGATTTGATTTTGCCAGAAAGAATTGAAATTCAAAGGGGATTTTATTTATTAGCTTCCAGACTTGGGTGGATTCTCACTGGAAGGACCCAAGAAGCTTACAGTGAAGAGGAGGACCAAGTGATGATGATAACCAATGGAACTTTATCTTTGACAGAGTGTTGCCTCCATTCTGCAGTAGATGAGTGCTTGACATTTAAACCTTCTATTGAAGAATTCTGGAAGCTGGAGACTATTGGGATTCAAGATTCTCCCCACACTTCAGATGATGAGAAAGCGCTGAAAAATTTCAACAGCACACTGAAAATGGAAAACAAAAGATACCAAGTCACCTGGCCGTGGAAAGAAGAATATCCTGAGCTACCAGAAAATCGGGAACTAGCATATGGAAGGCTAAAGTCACTACTTCACAAGTTACAGTGTAACCCTGATTTACTGCACAAGTATGATGACATTATTCAGGACCAGTGTAAAAAGGGAATTATAGAGAAAATTCCACCCCAACAAAGAGAGACAGGTATTAAGCATTATATACCTCATCACGCAGTGATAGATTTGACCAAACCTACTACAAAGGTAAGGATTGTGTATGATGCATCGGCTAAGTCAGGACATAAGAAAACCAGCTTGAATGAGTGTTTGCACAGGGGACCTGTGATGCTGCATGATTTATGTGGACTTCTGATGCGTTTTAGACTTAACAAGATAGGAATAACAGCAGACATTGAGAAAGCGTTCTTGCAGATCGGCTTACAGGAGGAAGACCGTGATGCTACTAGATTCTTCTGGTTGAAGGATGCTAACAAGGCTACAGTAGACAGCAATGTACAAGTGTACAGATTTTGCAGAGTGCCTTTTGGTGTGATCTCAAGTCCCTTCCTACTTGCGGCAACTGTTGATCATCACCTTAGTACATATGAAAGCAAGACAGCTGAAAACATAAGAAACAATATTTATGTAGATAATGTTATTACAGGAGTTGATAACATTCAAGAAGCAGAAATTCTATACAAGGAAGCCAAGGAGATATTCAGTAGTATGTCCACGAACTTGAGAGATTGGGCATCTAATGCCAAGGACTTTTATGAGACCATACCAGATGAAGATCAATCAACTAGAGAAAAGTTAAAAATACTCGGATTGACTTGGAATCTCATCGAGGATGTACTTTCAGTGCCATGTGGAAATTGTATGAGTAAGACAGTACCAGTTACCAAACGAGAAGTACTCCAAGTAGTTGCGTCAATATTCGACCCTCTTGGATTTTTCACACCTGTGACTTTAAAGGCAAAATTTTTTCTTCAGACTCTATGGAAGAAAAATCTTGAGTGGGATGAAGCACTCACAGAAGAAGATATACAACAATGGCGAGAAATAAGAGCAGATTTAGGAGGGATTCCAAAGTGTCAGATTCCAAGATATATAGGACTATCAGGAGAGGTGTCTTACAGACTTTTGTGTTTTTGTGATGCATCTGCAAAAGCATTTGCGACTGCCATTTACCTTCAGATGACAACTACCAATTCAAGCATCAGCAACTTAGTATTTTCCAAGACTCGTCTAGCACCGACAAAGACAATTACTATGCCTCGTCTCGAACTTCTAGCAGTTCTCATTGGAGTAAGGAGTCTAAACTTTGTTCACAGTCAACTAAAACTAACAGTGTGTGAGAAAATATTCTGGACAGACTCACAGTGTGTCTTACATTGGATAAAGACTAAGAAGCCCTTGACAGTTTTTGTGGAAAACAGAGTGAAGGAAATTCAGAAGAGCAGTGACCTTGAATTTCAATATGTGGCTTCTACTGATAATCCAGCAGATATTGCTACCAGAGGTAGTACAGTGGAAATATTGCAAGAAAACAGACAGTGGTGGAATGGCCCAGCATGGCTGAAAGAGAGCAAAAGTCAGTGGCCGATATGGAATCCAACTCCGAGTGAAAATCACAGTGAAGCTATTGCGTCAGAGTACAAGAAATCTAGAGTGTATGAAACCAAAATGTTAGTGGGGGAGGGTCCTCACGGATGCTCGGACACTCCTGCTGAATGCAAGAACCCGTTTAGCATACACGACAAGCAATTTTCGTCCTTCGTTAAATTAGTCAGAGTATCGGCATGGATACTTAGATTCATCAGCAAAATTAAGAAGGAAAAGTCCTTTTCTGGTACATTAACTGCAACAGAACTGAGTGAGGCAAAGATACTTTGGATAAGGAGTATCCAAAATCAGAACTATAGAGAGGTAAAGAATGCTTTAACAGAAGAAAAGAGGCTTAACTTAGTTAACCAATTAGGACTCATTTTGGATGAAGACAAAATTATTAGATGTGTTGGTCGACTTGGAGCTGCCCACTTGACTGAAGGAGCTAGAACACCAATTTTAATGCCAAAGAAAAATCATGTGACAGATCTACTCATAGACAGTTACCACAGGAAATCACTTCATGTTGGAGTATCTCAAACACTATCCTTAATCCGACAGACATATTGGATTCCTCAAGGACGTTCTCAAGTAAGAAGAGTACTACAGAATTGTAGTATATGCAAGCGACATGAAGGTGGACCATATAAAATGCCTGTAATATTAATGCCACCCTTACCAAAGAAGAGAGTGAATGAAGCTTCGTCATTTACTTACACTGGTGTAGACTACTTCGGCCCTATTTATGTGAAAATAGACACTGGGACCAAGAAAGTGTGGGTGTGCCTATTCACATGTTTAGTCACCAGAGGTATCCATCTCGAGCTTATGCAAGATATGTCGACTGAAGAGTTCCTTCTTGGCTTGAGACGATTCATTGCTCGATGGGGAAAACCAAAAGAACTTATCTCTGACAATGCTTCCCAGTTTAAGTTGGCAAGTAGTGCACTGGAAAAAATTTGGACCTCAACAGTCAGGGATCCAGATGTGCAGAGCTATATCGCAAACGAAGATATCAAATGGCAGTTCATAGTCGAACTGGCCCCATGGATGGGAGGCTTCTACGAGCGTCTCATTGGAGTAGTGAAGAGATGCCTACGGAAAACTATTGGGAAACTGTGTCTAACAAGTGAACAACTAAGAACTCTATTAGCGGAGACTGAGGCAGTTGTTAATTCAAGGCCATTAGTTTATGTGGGAGATGACATAAATTCTAACATAATTCTCACACCAGCTCACTTCCTGACACTGAATCCTAAAATTGGTATTCCTGATAGTGAAGAAGAAGATACAGAGGGCACAGAGTATCTACCTAACATCAGCAGTGCTGAGAAGTTATTACAGACATGGAAGAAGGGACAAAAACATCTTGATGCCTTTTGGAAATCCTGGCGAGATGACTATCTCCTGAGTTTGCGAGAAAGAACAGCATACAGACTGAAGGAAGGAAGAATTCAGCACAGTATGGAGCCAAGGATTGGAGATGTGGTGTTGGTTAAAGATGAACTTCCGCGTGGAACCTGGAAAGTAGGACGTTTGTGTGAACTGACTGTTAGTCGAGATGGACAGATCCGTTCCGGAAAGGTTTTACTTCCAAATAAGAAGACCCTTAATAGGCCTCTAAATCTTTTATATCCGATTGAGTGTTCAAAGGAAACAGAGACCAATGACAGGAAGGATCAAAGTACCGAAAGTGATAAAAGTGTCTCATCCGAAAATCCAACGGTGACCAATTCAAAAACAGAAGCGGACGTTAGAGACTCGCCACAAGAGAAACCTAAGAGACAAGCCGCCTGTAGAGCAGTAGAGAAAATCAAGGATTGGTTAAAACCATGATTCATTTTTGGTCGCGGGAGTGTTGTGAATGTGTTAACATTAACAATGTTTAATTTATTTTCTATATTATTTTAATTTATTTATATAAAGTGTAAGATTGTTGTTATTGTATTTTATATCATAAGTGTAATTGTTCATGTGTCCGTTTTTATCAGGTTAAAGTATATAGTGTATTTTTTAGTCAGTTTCCGTTTTTGTCCGGTTGTTTATCTTTTGTTTAGTTTTAGAAACAGGAAATAAGTAGAGCAGAAGTGTAGCAGACGTTTGTCAGAAGTCAGAGATAGTCAGATCGTTTAATTAAAGTTTTTGATATAGATTTCAGTCACTTGTAGAATTAAGGTAAAAGGTAGACTTAATAGAAGAGCTTGTGCAGTAGTAGACACAGATTTCTAGGATTTTGAGATAATATGCATGTTGTAACTATTTCCAATGTGGCATGTTTTTTACTTTCAGTCTAATGTATACTTGTTTTGTATTGTTTATATGTTTGCATATGTATATAAAATGGAAAAAGGAAAAACCTGTGTGATTATTCAAGGAACTGATAGACAGTCGCCACAGTTGTACAATGTAATAAAATATATTTATTTTTAAATGCATGTTCAAGATCATTTTCAGCACTTATTTTGATTATTTAATAGTTGCATGCAGTGGACTGTGCCTGAGACGATTCCCATAGCGCTGGCGAATAGTCAGCTTGTATAAATGGTGAGAACCAGCTCAAATTTTCATTTAACACAAATAACCTAACATTGTTTTTATTAACTTGTATCTTTTAGCATAGAACTATAAAAATATTGCAGATTTCTATGTACCAAGTAAACAAGAGGTTTATATTCTTAATTTCCTTATCCTAAAAATACATAACAATGGATTCTGACAGGTAATCTAAACATGCTATAAATTAGCACAGCTATGCATATTAATTATTTTATATTAAATACTTATGCATAAATTATTAGGAATAGCTATCATTTTGACAAATTCTATGATGCACAATTATACATGCATTATTTACAGGAATCTGAATGCTCACAAGAAGGACAAATGCAGTATGGAAATTAATACAAAGGTATTCTAAGATTTCTTAAATTTTCTGATTAGAGCTATAAAATCACATGAATTGAAATACATGTATCTTATATCTTATTCAATGTAAGTCAGGCATAGAGCTTTAGCTCTAGCCCTAACCTTTTCCTTTAGCTCACTTGAGCCATTTTAAGTCCAAAGTTAAACAAAGCGAGTTTTCTCATCAGTGTCTAGTTTTCGTCTGTCATCTGTAAACTTCTCAAATTTTTACATTTATCGAAATTAATCCTAAGAACCAAAAAAAAAGACACTGCAAGATAGTGAATTTCTATTCTACACTAAATGTATACTGAACTGTCAGGTTGAAGTAACCAATTGTCTTAAAAGTCTTGTACTCTTGTAGAGCCTTACTTTATTATTTGTTATATATTTATATGTTTATAATATATAAATGCGATAGATAATCGATGATAATACATCCTGATGGTCATTTTTTCTTTCAGAAATTGTGCCAGAAAAGTAAGTGTCTACGGGAACAATCAACATCGAACTTTCTGAGCCTTCCGACTTAAACTAAAGTGAATTCATTTGTGAATTTCATGGGATATCAGTGAGGAAGTGATTCAAGCAGACACTTGAGAAATTTCGGATCTAACTTATAAATTAGGATCTTTGGCATATTCGGGGAAAATAGCGTGACTGTGTTGATTTTATGGGATCTTTTTATTAATATAGTTGTAGTGGATATTTTGTCTTAATACATGTGTTTGTCACTCTAGTCTAGTCATTAACTTTGTACGGTAAATGTTCATGCGCAACTGGAAGTTCATTGTAACTGTATACCCTGTTGAGGTTTCAATGACCTCTCCCAATGTTATTAAGTCAAATGTCATATTTTAAAAAAAGAAATAGTTTGTTTTATTACAAAGAAATGTTGATCACTGAGAATACTTAGAAAAAAATATGCTTACATTGTACATCTATAAGTGTATATGTAATATTTGTTTGAAAACACATTGTGAAAGAAACAATTTTTTTTAATTTTGAAAATATAGATTTGATCTATGATAAATTGAACATTGAATTGATTTCATTGTATCTTCCTGGAATTTCTTAGATTTCAATGGAATTCCATAGATTTCTAAATATCCTTGTGCACAGATATGTTGGGCCAACATAAGAATTATCATTGTTTGAAATTGGGCCAACGTAAAGCCTACATGAAGATGCACAAATACGTTGGGCCTACATTGGGCCAACATCAGAATTATTGTATAACATTGGGACAACGTAGCGCCAACATGTCAGTGCAATGTTGCAACGATGAGCAAAATTACATTGGCCCAATATACATTTTCCGACGTTGGTCCAATGTCGGAAAATGATTTTGGGCAATTTTAATTTTGCTCATCGGCGCAACGTTGCGCCGACATGTTGGCGCAACGTTGGCCCAATGTCATAGAACGATAATTCTGACGTTGGTCCGACGTTGGGCCAACATAACTGACAACAGTGGCCCAACGTTGGACCAACGTCAGAATTATCGTTCTATGACATTGGGCCAACGTTGCGCCAACATGTCGGCGCAACGTTGCGCCGATGAGCAAAATTACATTGGCCCAATATCATTTTCCGACATTGGACCAACGTAACTTACAACGGTGGCCCAACATTGGGCCAACGTAAGCTTGCTATCTGGGTCACGACAGATATGATCACACAACATGGACATTTTGAAATAACGCTGTCATTCTATTTCTCATATAAAAATATATTTTGAATAGGAAGTTGCTTATCAGGCGAATTCCGGTGTAAAAACGGATGGTGTATAGATTCAACAGTACAGTGTGATGCATACCAGAACTGTGCTGACAATAGCGACAACGAGAGTGATCTGTGCAACTACAAACTGTCAACCGGCGCTGTAATAGCCATCGCGATATCCGCTTTCTTAGTTTTAATCGTGCCATTAGGAGTAATATTTGGTAGAAAAAGGTGTCAAAAGGCAAATTACTCTGAAATTTAACTCTAAGAGGAATATATCTGTTACATTTTCATGATAATTTACGAGAATGTTTATCTGATGAATGTTTACCATCATCAATTTATTAAATCGTTACATGTACATTTTGCAAATAATATAACACATCTTTCATGCTACATGTATAACTATTCATATAGATTTGATATCACTTTATTAAATCATTTGTATATAATATTTCGTTTTTTAATAATTTCTATTTCTTGAAAGTCCAAAGTAACTGACCTTTAAGTTTAAAAATCTGACATTTTGTGCGATAAAGCTCTGCAAATTATCTAATTGTTGTTTTCTGCAATCTTGATATTGCCATGACCAAAACAGGAGTATTGTTAGGTGGAAAAAAATCAGCATAAGATTCAAATTCCATAATCCTGAAAATCTAAAGTGAACATCAACAAAACTTTCTTGAGAATGACATTTGTGATACTTTTACTTGATTGTTCATAAAATATGGATTGTAAAAAAAAACGCTGCAAGTTCAAGACCGAACACTTCATTCTGAGAGAAGAGTGGACTGCTGTCGGTCCTAATGGCCCCCCAGAAGACCTGTCTTCTCACAGAATGAACAGTTTTTGTTTTTCAGTTTTGTGAATGCGCGACAGCAAGTTGTGAATGAGCCTGACGGCATGCTGTACGTTAGCGCTATATCGTTTTTTAGTTCTACCAGAAGAGCTTATATGCGATAGTGATGTGTCCTTCGTCCGTCTAGCTGTCTTTCCGTCTGTTTGTATTTTTTTTTTCAATATGCTACATGTACTCCTCCTACAGTTTTGGTCAGAATTCAATATAATTTGGTGCACAAATAGACTACACTAAGATACATAATTCAGTGCATCGGATTTTATTTCAATGAACGGTTTTGTCATGGTTTCTAAAAATAGAAATTCCTTTTAAACGCTACTCCTTCTACAGTTTTGGTCTAACTTCAATATACTGTAGAAGTACTTTTTTCGCCTGATTTTAATTTACTCTGCGGTCACAAATTGTCCGCGGAAATTCGTCTCATCGTACTCAAAATACTTGTAAGGAATATTGTGAGAGTCTATGAAAATCCGCGTAATTTTCTACCCGCTACCCTTCTACAAATTTGGTCCGATTTCAATATAATTTGGCACACATGTAGACTACATTATGATACATAATTTTAATTATTACTGCATGTTGCAAAGTTTCAAATCCTAGTGCTACTTTTCCTTTGTTATTCGTACAGACCGGTAGAGCTACAGTGTCATCAGAGACTTCTGGTTCGAATCGCTCTGTTGAGCTTAAGCAAATGACCCTATTTAGACAAAATGATACGATTATGATACAGATCGAACGCATCAAGTGAATGGAAAGGAAAAGAGAATGGAATTTTGCTTTGAAGTACATACATGTATGTATAAAGGCACAGAAAATAAAGATGATGCTGAAAGTGTATAAATTTCAACTTATCAACATTAAGTTTAATTTCACAGGTTTCGGGAGAAGGTATTCAAATATATTTTGACAAGCAACAAAAAAAACTTAATCATCTAAATCCTTTTTTGCTACCCTTTGAAAACAAAAAAGAAATGGAATCTTACCATGCTATTACTTACAAAAAAAGCGGAACAGCATCTTCAGATCGAATATTCACTATATAAAATATCTAGATAGGCGTCAGAAAGAACTTCATGTATAACCAGAAGTAGAACTCTTCAATGATCGACAGATATACAATGCACCAGAAAATTCTACCCGTGAATTTACATTGTGATTTGTTCCAAGCCAGAATTTGAAAATTTCTATTTTTTTTTTACACTGCAGATTAAAAATGTTACTTAAAATCATGAAATTGTTTATTACAAGTTCGATAAACTCGTGCTTGTTTGGGTAGTCTTTTTTTATCACTTCCTAATAGTAATACCTGATATCTAATAAGTCATTTCTTTAATTTCCTATCCAATTATGAACAGCTATTAGCAATCTGTTTAAAAATAATATGTTCATGTAGACATAACTAAAATAAAATATTTGTGTTTGCTACCTAAACACTTTTTTAACGTTCAGTAACAGTTCAAATTTTAAACAGAATCAGCAGGCTGCTGACGTATATTTTACTGTTACATACTGGGTACATTTTTAGACTACAAAAACAAAGGAATGACATCACTGCAATGTTTCAATTTATTGTATCTCGATTTCGGTAAAGCAAAGCCCTATTTGTTTGTCAATCTGTTTGTCTCTCGTCTATCAAACGAAATTTTAAAAATTAATTTTGGTCTCAACTTTTTACAAAATTTTTGACTTCGTGACCTCGACATGAATTTTGACTACTATTTCTTGCAAACGAATAAGACGCTTTTTTCATAAGCGAGTGACAAAAATGAATTACCCATGTGTTGGTCCCGTCAATTCTATAAGACTGTATTGAGTACATGACGCTTCCAAAAGGCTTTACCTATTGAGTGGAATCTAGAAGAATTTTCCTTACCAACTTCATTCAAAATAAAAGAGCACCAAGTCCAGTACCCAAAACTTTAAATGCTGATCTAACGAAACATTTGTTCATCCTTATATGTTTCTTTCATAGTTCGTCTAAGATATTTTATTTTCAATCTATAGAATGATGAAATATGAAGACAACACAAAGTTATGAATCTAAAAAGTCAACTGAAAAAAAAACATATATGGAGCAAAACAAAAACGGATATCCCAAAAGAATGGGAGGTGGGAACAGGTGCCATGGATGAGTAAGCATCTTCTATCAACCAGTTACACTCAGCCAATCTGATTTCTTTAACTCAATCAAAATCAAGGTGGATATAGGTGTTTAATATGTTCTCAAAAATATGCGCACAATACAGTTTGGGCACAATGTATGTTAGTCTTATGCCTGCTCAAATTACAAACAAGTGTTCAAAAAACATGTATAAATACTACATGTATTATCAACATTCTGCTTCACAGAAGTCAGAAGTTAAATAAAACTGACCGGGGTATTATTTTTGCAAAGTAGGTCTTAAGTCAAGGACAAGTAGATTATTTTTCATCAGACCTTTTTTGATGAACATTACACATGCTACATGTGTTTAGCTTAGACCAACCTCTTAGATGTCAAAATTGTGCTGTATATATAGGCAATAAAAACTATTTTGGAAAGTTGGTCAACAATCAAGGCCAAGGTTCACGAGGACAGTAAACATGGTAATTAACATAAGCCGATATTCATGTATTATATGTATGTGCAACATATCTAATCCCTACCTCTTACAATTCTCGAGATACAGGCTCTGACATACAGACAGACGCTGGGTAAAGTGATCCGTAAGTGCTACTCTGTTCTGCAGGCGACACAAACAGTCGAGTGATACATAGGTTGGTTTAATATATTTATTAGGAAAACATATTGTCTAAAAGAGTTCCCCCCCCCCCTCCTTGTACATCCCGGCAATAACAAGTTGAAGAACTTTCTGGTTTCATAAGTTTTATATATCAATAATTATATTGGCTCTGAAATTAATATAAAATATACAATAACATTAGAATGGTACAATAAAATATAATAGTAGATATATACATAGGAGTCATTATTCAAATAGTGTCATAAATGAATATTTCACTCTATGGAATGTTGTTTCACTTTACATGTACAAAGAGCAATAACTCTTACAAGCTAAATCTACTTTCCAAAATCGTGAAGAGTTATCTTTCATATATAACCAAAATAATAAAACAGTAATGCATACCGGTTTGTAGAACCAAGTCCATCTGACAAACTGTATGGGTCTTTCAGATATGGTGTTACACTATATTAATAATAAATAAATTCCTAAAGATATGCTCTTTACAATAACTCTGTATTTACACCAAAATACTTCTTATGAAAATATTTACTTATATACGTTTAATAGGATCTGAATATATTAACTCATATGGAATTATCAGATTTATCAACATCTGATCTAGACGTAAATATTCTATGTACACAATTTTTACAAAGTGGCAAATTCTGAGTTTCTTATGTATATCATAATTCATATTCTAATATAGATTAAAATGTTAAAATATTAGTACTTACATGTCTCTGTCAGAAGTAAGATTTCAAATATTTCAATAATTCACCAGATCTAGCTTTCTACATCAGTACATGTCTAAAACTGTGGGATCTATTAAACTGAGTAAATTTCACTCACTGGACAATGTAAAACTCTTGACCAATGAAATGTAAATGCTCAACCAATGAATGAATGTCTGTGTGAAATGTATAGGTGGATCAAAAGGGATGTGTGGTAACACTTAATACCTTATTAGTAATAGAAAGACTTTAGATTTTAATTTATTTAGCTATCTTAAATTTATTTTATTTATTTATCATTTATTAAATTACCTAATAAAATATACATCTACTACACATGTACCTGCAATAAAAAAAAAAATTCCTGTTTTTTCTCACTGACTAATGCACGCGCTTTTTGCCTTATTTTCATGTATAGCATGCGCAGTACCTATGATTAATTTAATACATTAAACAGAAAAAGACACAGGGTAACGAAAAATTTTTTAATCGCATAACCGAAGATTTCGAAAATGATCAGATGAGAATCTTGATAACTATATCTTCAAATCAGTGTTTTGAATTACTGAACTGTGAAATGATTGAAGCAAGGTATAGAAAGTACTAAAAAGCAAAAGAAAAACACGTGCAACTTGATGACGACAAAATTATCAGCGATCTCCTTGTACAAATTGCCAAATAAGGACAAAGGTAACATTGGGTTGTTGTGCAGTCGCTTGTAAATTGTTCCTCCATAGAGAGGACCTGAATTGGTTTTCTACCAACCGTGACGATGACGCAAAACAGAGCCACGTCAAGATCGAATTATTCGTCCTGTCATCTGTTTTATCGCCACATCGCTGTCACAAAAATGCTATGAATACAGTAGGCTATCATTACCAGTTTGAAATTGACAGAAAACAAATTCGCGATTCGGGTTTTTGAGTTGGTCAACTTTATGTTGCTGTTTCTCTCACTGACGCATGTGCGCGCCGTATTCATTGTTTCAGCGTGTTTACCTCTTGCCCACGGAGAGAATCACTTTTTAGCACTCGAGTGGTCTCTGTAAAGTTTTATTGTTATTGAACATCTCTGGGACTGAGTAGAAGATAGGATTCGAAATGCCCAAGTTGGTTTTCTGACAGATACGCGAAGGAGACATCGAGAAAAATGAAAATTTTCGTTCATCACTTCTTTTTTGGGTATCATTATTATGAGTTGCCATAATTATATTGTAAAATTGGACTTTTGCTTACATTTTCATTAAACATGATTTTAAAGGTGAGCTAGGAATACAAGAAAATACTGAAAAAAAATAAACTATTTCACTACAAGCGTTTACCCTACGTGTCTTTTTCCTTTAAATATACTTTGTTGGATAGCAATCGTTTGTATGCACCTAAGTGCTAAATACAAACTCTCATATCTAATCTTCACACACACATAAATATCAAATAAGCTCTTTCACGTTATCGATATACCTTTATTTTAAGATTCTGCTCTACTCGTGAACAAAGTTATTGATATTTAGATAAGCTCAAATTTATCTATTATTTTTATAAAGTGAGCTTTTAATACAGAGCCTTCAACAGGAGATTTAAAGGTATGTAAACGCTAATTATTGTCACCCGCGGCAGATTTAGTGAATGTTGGGAGATGTTTATTTTGGTCTGTTCGTCTGTCTGTCTGTATGTCAAATACATTTTAAATTCACTGCGATATCTCGAGAAGCCTTTCAGCTTTTGCAATGAAACTTTAAATATAGCAACTTCATGTGGCCTAAACAAGACCCCAATTGATTTTGAGGTCAAAAAACACACTGTGATTGTCCAATTTCTTTCAAATATATACATATACGAATATCAATAATTCCTGAAAATTCTTCATATATATCAAAATAAATAATTTAAGAAATTTATATCAAGAAGTGCTGAGAACTAGAACCCAAAAGTAATAAAATAATGACAATGAAATTGCCTATATATCTATATAACCCTTGCCTCGCCTCTTACGCTGAGTCTGTATAAATATGTACGTGAATGTAGTTTTGCCCTTTGACCCATGAATCCCAATATCGCAACACCCTTCAGTTAAGGAATTGGCTTTCTGATAATTTTTTTCGTTTTGTTTTTAAAAGTTTTTAGATATTTTAATACATGTAAATGCTATGATTTTTTGTAAAAATAAACATCGTTTATTACAAGAAATAACTTATTTTTATACAATGTAGAACTTTTAAAATTGGCCAATGAATTTTTTTTTTACTTCTAGCTCTTTTTTTCAGATGGAGATATCTTCAGTTCTTTGCCGAAAAAGTATGCACATACATCATCACTTGATACTTTAATAATAATAATAATAATAAATGTATTTTACTGAGATGTTTCGCTCTTTTATGGATACTTCTTTATCTACTAGTATGACAAAAACAAACACGATTAGTCGTTATAAGATTCTCAAATTGCTTTAAAATCATTATATTTATATTTGATTTTTTTTTTCAGACACTAATTGTGCACTCGTTGAAATTTACATTGCTCTTGGTCTAACGGCTGTATCCTGGCTTCTTATCCTTATAATTCAGCATTGCTTCAAAGAAATTTTTAAAAATTTACTTGAACCCAGCATTACCAGCGAAGAGGGAACCATCAACGTTTCATTCAATATATTTTCAATTTCGAATAGTGATGGAAATGGCTTGCTAGTAGCATCCTTTTTTTAAATTGAGTCAAATGAATCGTGTTGTGCGTGTTGTGCTCCATGGTGTAAATGTATAGGACACTGTATCAATTTTATTGTAGATAAGGTCTATCGATTGTTTTATGCAGTTTTGATGATAATTAATATCTTTGATTTCTGGGCAGACTTCTTTCTTCTTTTTAAATTTATATTCTTACTAGATTCGAAAACAACTGGACTACTTTTATTACCAGGAAGTTTAGCATGGTTTTTAAATGTAATATTAATAAGATCATTCTATAAAATTGCAATGAAGGATTTACAGAAGGAACCATCCGAGGAAACACAAATGAAATCATCTGAGGAGTCACGAACGGAATTATCTGAGGAGTCAAGAGAGAAGTCTTGTACATGTAGGCCTGAGGATGTTAACTTATTTCTCATCTGGATTTTAGCAGTTATTCCTAAGGTTTATCTGTAAGTGCAATGTGCTTTTGTTTAATCCATATCCTTTTTTCAGATCATCTGAAGGTTTTACATGGCATATATATTATACTTTTAAATAGGAAAAATCTTTGAAATTATCCCCAAAGTAGCAATTTAAAGTAATATTAAGTTGATATCGAAGCTTTTTCAGTTGGTGTACATTTTACTTGGTCCAAATCTTAATACAAAGATGAGAAACGATACGATTAATTCCGGATCGAATAGAAAAGCCAGCGATGTGCTTTGACTGACCGAGTGTGCTGCTTATAACGAAATCTGTATCCGTGAATCGATCAGTTATATTAGTATATTGATGGATCCTGTATTTAATATGCAAAGTAGTATTCGCTTCACTGAAATCAAACATCAGATCGATGACAAATGTGGTTAACAATATTGTCAAGTGTTTCTGAAGTAGAAGTTGAAACAGACGGGTGGACAACAGGTGATAAGAAAAACTCACTTGAGCTTTCAACTCAGGTGAGCTAAAAAAAAAATTAGCACTCGTCAAATTGCTGTGTTCTGAGTCCTGCTGGTCAATAACATGCATAATATCTGCATATAACAACATTGTTTTTAAAGCAGACATAATTTTGTACAAAATTTTGGACATCAAATTAATGTTAACATTACAATGTTAACATTACAATAAGACTAACATTACAATAAGACTACAACTTTACACTAGTAGGAGTAGCTTTTAATAAAAAAAAAATTACAGAATTTTCAATTCTGCTTACCAAACAACACCGTTCATCAAAATCAAAAACACAAAATTGATAATTACATATCTCAGTGTAATTTACTTTCATGCCAAATTATATTATAATCAAAACTGTGAGAAGTATTTTAAAGGTATTTTACAGAAATTTCACTTTCTAGTTACCATGGGAACACCGTTCATCAAAATCAAAAACCGATACACAGAATTATGTATCTTAGTGTAGTCTACTTGTGCGCCAAGTTATATTGAAATCAGATCAAAACTGTAGGAGAAGTAGCATTTTGAAAATATTTCACAGAAATTTCTTTTTTTAGTAACCACGGCAACACCCTTCATCAAAATATAAAAATCGATACACCGAATTATGTACTAGTATCTTAATGTAGTCTACTTGTGTGCCAAGTTATATTGAAATCAGACCAAAACTGTAGCAGGAGTAGCATTTTGAAAGTATTTCACAGAAATTTCTACTATATGTATTTGTAACCACGACAACACCCTTCATCGAAAACACAAATCGATACACAAAATTATGCCTCTTAGTGTAGTCTACTTGTGTGCCAAGTTATATAGAAATCAGACCAAAACTGTAGGAGGAGTAGCATTTTGAAAAATTGTTTACAGACAGATAGATGAACAGACAGACGAATGGACGCCGGACGCATTACTATCGCATAAGCTCTTCTGCATGGTCTCTGACCAGTAGAGCTAACAACGGGTTGTTGTGCAGTCGCTTGTTAATTGTTCCTCCATAGAAAATCTTCACTGTCGGTCGTCAGAGAGGACCTGAACTGGTTTCCAACCAACGGTGACGATGACGTTGAAGCAAAACAGAGCCACGTCAAGATCGAATTATTTCGTTCTGTCACCTGTTTTATCGCCACATTGCTGTCACAAAAATGTTATGAATACAACTGGCTATCATTTTCAATTTGAAATTAAAAGAAAAGGAATGCGCGATTCGGGTTTTTGAATTGGTCAACTTAATGTTGCTGCATCTCTCAACTGACGTATGCGCGCGCCGTTGTCATTTTTTCGGTGTATTTTCCTCTTGCCCAGGCAGAGAATCAATTTTCCCAACTCGAGTGGTCTCGGTAAAGTTTTATTGTTATCGAACATCTCTGTGACTGAGTGGAAGATAGGATTCGAAATGCTCAAGTTGGTCTTCTTTAAATAACTTAGGACTCCCTTGATAAAAGGATTGAATAATATCCCTATTTGAAGGATTAATAAACTGAGGAACTCCATGCAAAGGAGAATCAAGACTGTGACAGATGCACGAAGGAGACATCGAGGAAAATGAAAATTTTTATTCTTCACTTTTAAGTGGTTATCATCATATGAGTTTCCATAACTACATTTTAATTAGTTAATAATGAGGCAAAAAATGGACTTTTGCTTAGATTTTCATTAAAGATGATTTTAAAAGGTTAGCTAGGAATACAAAAAATACTGAAGGAAAAATTATATTATTTCACCACAAGTGTTTACCCTATGTTTCTTTTTCCTTTCAATATACATTGTTAGATAGCAATCGTTTGTATGCACCTAAGTGCTAAATACAAACTTTCATATCTAATCTTCACACATACATAAATATCAAATAAGCTCTTTCACGTTATCTATATACCTTTATTTTAAGACTCTGCTCTACTCGTGAACAAAGTTCTTAACACGCATTCTCTGTAAGCACCAACGAATTTACTATAGGGCTTGGAAACGACATGTCTCGGATTTTGATGAAATTTTCACCATAGGTGTGTCTTGGTACAAAACTAGTAAATATGGTGTCGGAAGTTCCACACGTGCACTTGGTTGCCATGGAGACAGATCCATTGTATTCGGCCATTTTTGGCCCATTTTGACTAAATGAAAACATGAAAATTGAGGAAATGTAAATGAATATTTATCGGTATCTAATATACTCTAACAAAAATCATTGGATCATATGATAACATGACATTTTAAGGTACACAGGGCATATAATCGTTTATTCTAGAAATATTCTTCCTGTAATGAAAAGGTCATGCAAACTTACATGGTTTCTAAAAATTTGAAAAATGGGTAAATTGGAATTTTTGAGATCTTTGAGGCTAAATAAGAAAAATTGTCCGCGGAAATTTCCCAAATCTTACGTGGTTTATTATATTTGGGAATAAGTAGTGTCATTTCATGAAAAAACATAAGTGGGCTTTTGCTCCTATTTTTAGTAACATGTATCTATAAATAGATATATTTTAGAAAAATGTGAAAAATCAAATTTTGGCAAAGTTTAAATTGTCATTACTGCATAATTAGAACGTATGTTGTAAAAATTGAGATTCTAATGACAAGAACTGGACACCACTAGCTGGTATGGACAACGGTTGATGGGAATTCCCATTTCTATTTTTAGTAACAGGTGGCTATATATAGATATGTCTCTGAATATTAGGGAAAATGGCATTTTTGTTCTAATTGGAAGCTTCATATAAAAAGTCCTAACAAATATAAAGCTTTCTAAAGTATGCTTTCAGAATGTGCATGTGTTTGTTCAAAAATTGCTGCTATATTGAGGATGGACTCTTGTTTCATTTAATGGCAACAATGGTCTAAAAATAGATTACTCGAATAATTAAGAAAAAAGTAGATTATTGCACCTTTTCAGACAATTTTTTAGATGTAGTTGCTGTATAATTAGGAAATATTTTGTAAAATTTTAGATGTAAATGACAAGATCTGGATACCACTAGCAGGTATGGATAATTGATGAAGAGAATTCCCATTTCTATTTTTAGTACCAGGTGGCTAAAAATAGAGATGTCTCCGAATGTTAGGAAAAATGGCATTTTTGTTGTAATTGGAAGCTTCATATAAAAAGTCCTAACAAATATAAAGCTTTCTACAATATGCTTTCAGAATGTACAATGTACAGAATGTGTTTGTACAATAATTGCCACAATATTGAGGATGAACTGTTCTTTCATTTCATATCAACAATGGTTTAAAAATAGATTATTCGAATAATTGAGAAAATGTAGATTATTGCACCTTTTCAAGCACATTTTAGATGTAATTGCTGCATAATTAGGAAATATTTTGTAAAATTTGAGATGTTAATGACAAGATCTTGACACCACTGGCAGGCCTGGTATGAATAATGGTTGAAAGTATGCTTTCAGAATGTACATGTATTTGCACAAAAATTGATACAATTGTGAGGATGGACTTTGTTTCATTTTATGGCAACAATGGTCTAAAAATAGATTACTCGAATAATTTGAGAAAATTTAGATTATTGCACCTTTTCAGGCACTTATAGATGTAGTTGCTGCATAATTAGGAAATATTTTGTAAAATTTGAGATGTTAATGACAAGATCTGGATACCACTAGCTGGTTTGGATAATTGTTGAGGGGAATTCCCATTTTTCTATTTTTAGTATCAGGTGGCTAAATATAGATATGTCTCTGAATATTAGGAAAAATGGCATTTTTTTTTCTAATTGGAAGCTTCATATAAAAAGTTTTAACAAATATAAAGCTTTCTACAATATGTTTTCAGAATGGACATGTGTTTGTACAATACAATAATTTCCACAATATTGAGGATGAACTCTTATTTCATTTCATATCAACAATCGTCTAAAAATAGACTATTCGAATAATGGATAAAATGTAGATTACTGCACCTTTTTAAGCACTTTATAGATGTCATTGCTGATTACTTAGGAAGTATATTGTAAAATTTTAGATGTTAATGACAACATTTAGCAGGTGTGGACAATGGTTGAGGGGGTTTCCCATTTCTATTTTTAATGTTAATGACAGTAGCTGGCCACAACTAGCTTGTGTGGACAAAAGTTGAGGGGGTTCCTATTTCTATTTTTAGTATCACGTGGCGAAATATAGATATTTAGGCCATTTATAGGAAAACTTTAAAAATCTTTTCAATTGTTCTGTAAAATAATTCCTGATTGTCCTAATTCTAGTCTTTGACAATGTACCTGTATTTTCATCTACAAGTTTGTTTTGTCCAAAGACTTTAAATTTTTTTAGACGAAGACTCAAAGAGCGTATTCTATATGGCAGTTTCTGTGGTCTGCGGTTTTTGTTTTTGATAGTCACCATATTTCAAGAACCTTTTGTCATTTTTTTGTCAAAATTGTCAAAGAGTATCTAAGGATTTTTGTTAATACATGTACCAAACATAGGGATTTTCTCTTTAAACAAGAGGAGAAACTAGGGATTCTAATCCCTAATAACAAGACCTTGTTAAAATGCCATTT